AATAATAGTTCATTATTAAAATAATTATAATCGATTTTTTACAGTGATAAAAATGATTAAAAGAAACATAAGAAATATCAGTTCATATCAAGATAAATGCTTATATATGTTGTCTAAATAAAATATAAAAATAAACAGCTTTTAAATAAAAGAAATAGAATCACAAGAAGTATTTGACGCTAAAAGTCACTTGAAAAATTAAAAAAATAAAAAAAGAAGCTTGCTACCATAACCCAATGGAAACGAATACTCCTTCGATCCTTAATATATGACTCAATTATTGAGTTGATTTTGATTCTAAATATAAGATCCATTTTTCATATTTATCATTTTTCTCTAAATTTCCCCCATTGATACTCCATCAACCATAATCAAGTAGAAGAGGAAGATGGCATATCAAGAAAGATGATTATGGTATTTTAGGAAAAACGTGTTACATTTCTTATAATTAACTAATTTACCTAACTTTCCTAATCTAATCAAATTAGTTAAATGGGTCTTATATTAAGGATCCGATGAGTAGTTTATAATTCTTGATCAATTTGCAACATCTGATTGGCACTTTTTCTCATATCTAACATGAAATCTTTGGAACATAATGAAAGCATATACTTTTCACCTGGAGAGTTCTACACATAAATAGTTAAATAGGAAGATATTCTGTGGGAAATATTGATCAGGAACTAAATACAGGCATATCTTGATTATCTTCTGGTAGATGTTAGAACTTTAATTGAATATGTTGTAAAAGACTAGTTACTTCTATTAAACTCAACTCTTCTTGTTGATAATTTCTTTTGTTTTTTTTGCAGTGTAGTTTTATCTATGACCGAACAATTTCAATTTAAGTACTCTTTCCGGTTCTTATTATAAACTTCAAATAATTAATTTACGAATAACAAACAATTCATTAAAATTAGTTAAAAGTAGTAAATATGTTAGAAATACAGCTTTAGTTTCAAATATACCCTTATAATAAATGGGAAAAAAATGAAAAATAGTGTATAGGAAAATGTGATAAGAGGGTATGGCAAAGGAAAGAAAATAAATAACTAAAGCCAAAATTTAAAAGAAAAAGCATTAAATGTTTAAACAAACCCGAAATCAAAACTTATAAAATAAACTACACCCATCTCTAAATTTGATGCTTATAAATATGACCCCAAAAAAATATTTTTGCATACAATTATAAAACTTGGCCTACAGCTATAACCACTAAAAGCATAAGACCCTATTCTTCACCTTACTTTTATGGCAATAAAACACGGTAAAAGCAAAAGGTGAACCATAGGATTCTGCCCCTCTCTAGACCCAAGAAAAACCAAAAAGAAAAAAAAAAAAGAAAAGAAAACACACACACAAAGGAAAGAAAAGAAAAATGAAAATGCTTGCCATTTCTTTCCTTCTTTGGTTGGGAGAAGAAAAATCCAGTAATAATCTTACGAACACCGTGCTTGATGCACTAAGATTGATTTAGAAATCGTAAGAAAGCAATATTGACATGTAGAAAAGGTAATTCTCCAAAGATAGTTAGCAGGTGCGAGAACCAAAACAAATTGATTAACCATAATGCTGCCCAAAATCAACATGTATGTAGGGTGAGAAATCGTCAGTCATTAGAAAGAGTATCCACTGACTGCCATTGAGCTCTCTCATATTTTCTGTTTCTAATTTGCATTAAAAAAAAAATTTGAAGCCATGAGTGTAAGTATGTTTTCCAAAAACCATAAATCATGCCGTCGTTGCATTAATTTTGATGTGATCTATAGCCTACTATGTTGAAAAAGTCTCCTGGACACTAATAGTTCCTCTACTTGGTTTGATTTATCCATAACCAAGAAATGAAAACTGAAAGAAAAGTAAGACTAAATACCCGTTTAGATTAGTGGTAGAAAAAATAGTTTATTTTTAATTGGAATTTTAAAAATTTATGATGACTGGGTAAAAATTAAATTATATAAGTATAATTTATATTTAAATTGGTTTTGTAAATAAATATATTTGTAAAAGTAGAAAAATTTTGGATGATTATTAACATCAGCAAGTTTAGTTATAAAATGATCAAAAGGAAATAAATTCTATTAAATTATACATATGTTTACATATATATATATAAATAGATTACATGTACATATGCTAACTTTAAGAGAAATATTTAAAAAACAACATAAATTATAAATTATAAATCCATAATAAGATAATTCTCAGAATATTTTTATTATTAAAAATTTTGAAAATGAAAATACTCAATGTATGAGGAGAAGGGACGGAGGAGAAATTTGATAATCCAATTTGCAATAAATGCTCTAAACATAGCAAACCAAAGATATGATAACATAAGCCATAAGCCATAAGCCATAAGCATCCTTTTGTTTGCTTATGCTTTTCAGTTTTCATATGTTTTCGACTTATAAACTAGATAGGCCAAAAGCCCATTCAAATAAAGAGTTTCCACCATAAGCACAATTGGACCAAATTTAAGCACGTTTTAAGCCCAAAAATGCAAGTCTAAATAGAACCCAAAGCTTTTGTAGTTGTCTGTAGCCATGCCATTATAAGGTGCTTTCACTGAACATACCATTAAAAAAAAAACAAGCATAATAATGACTAACGGCGTCATTGGACTTCGAGTTATACAATTCTCCCCAAAATAAGCCTCCCACCAGTCTAGATTATTTTTTATTTTTAATATAAGACCTAGTTGACTAATTTAAAAAAATTAAAAAGTTACTAAAGTTATAAAATTACAACATATATTACATAATATTTCTAAAATATTTATATATATGATCATATTATATATTAATTTATATGTGAGACAAATTAATTTGGAGAAAAATGATAAAAACAAATACTTAAGAAATTTAGTAGTTTTTTTGATCTCTTTAAATTAGTCAACTGAGTCTTATACTACCTCCAATCCTTAATATAATTTGGTCTTAAATATAAGATTCCAATCCACTTTGTCTCTTATATTTATCTACTTTTTCCAAGATAATCTTTATAATAGTTGTATATGTTAAATGTTTCATCAAATTATAAAGATTTTTATCAAATAGTAGTTCTGGCTAATACATATGATTAGTAAGAGTATATTAGGCAAGACAACACATATTTATTGTAAGCAACTAACTTAACAAACTTTCTTAACCTACTCAAATAAGTCAAGTAACTATTATTTTAAAGATCAGGGATAATATTAAGGAGTGAAGGTAGTATTTATTTTGTCAATTTCTACAACATCAGATGATCAGCTTAACTAAATTGAACACTATCATCAACAAACTTTCTGCGGCTCCACTGGCTCTACCAGCAGAACCAAAACATGCTCTTGCAGAATGTTCCACCTCCTCAAGCAAGGCACTTACTAAACATACAACGTTGGTCTGAAAAGTGGAAAAACATTGTGCAGTACCACTTTTCCTCTCCCTTTTATCTCTCAACACAACAACTTCTCACCAAATATGGGGCCAAAATTGGTTCTTGCAAATGTAATAAAATTTGCCCTCTTTGCTCTTACTATCAAAACATAACTACTGTTTCTTATCTTTAGTATAAAAGTTAGATAACTAATTTATAAATATAAAAAATTATGTTAAATTAATTATTTGTAATAAATATATATTAGTTTTCCTAAACTATCCTCTTTCATTATTTGTATTGGAACTATCATTTGATTGGGAGCCCTCATAGCATGTGAAATCAATAAGGATATTTGGATAAAAAGTTATAAATTTGAGAGATAAAATGGATTAAGATATTATATTTAGAATAGAGATAAACCCTTCCTCTACTTCCTATATTTAGAACCAGAGCTAGTATATTAAGCGTATTTAAGTCTTCAAATTTAAAGACATCTCAACTGCTACTAAACAGAAAAAAAATCTTGGACAATCTTAGCTTAAGTCCTCGTATCTTACCCTTGACGTTGGAGCCATCCTTTACAGGAGATGGTCTTTCACCATAGACAACAACTCCAATTCTTTTTTAGTTTTTGTCTGGTGACTATATTTCCTTCACTTGAAATTATCTTCACAATATTCAATAGATGAACGACTTTGGCACCAAGAACTAACACATAAATTCAAGGCAATTAGTTTTATTAGCTAAGAAGATGGATCAACATGCCATCTCTTTGACCACCTATGATATGTGCTGTGTCAGTTATGTGACAATTTCTTCTGAGTGTCAAAAACAGGTAAAATTTGCTCGCTTTAATTTACCTGCGATAATAAGTTGAAATATTATAGAGCGCAATCAAACATGTAATTTTGAATGAGCTAAAGATATTACCAGGGTTTAAATTTGAAATATATTTGAAATTATATTTATTTGTTAACCTTTTGTCCCTACAGGTGAATTTTTTTTAATAAAAAAAGAAAATATCAAATAATAAGGTAATATTTTGTTTAAGGTGATGCTGAAATTGCACATGATTACATAAAGTCACTTGGAATTATAGTTTTGTTTTTTGTTTAGACTTACAAGGTGATGATCGAAATATTTTAAATGCTATAATTTTGGTCGCTACTACAAAAGTGTGGCAGTGTGCCTTCACTTGAATTTTTCCCCATGATAAAGTACATAAATTGGTCAAGTTGTCGGTAATGTGAGATTTTGGTTTTTAATTAATTATTTTGTTTGGCCAAAAAAATCAATTATTTTGTTTGGCCAAAAAAATCAATTATTTTGTTGATACCTTGTGATAAGAAATTTATGGTATCAAAAGCAATTTTGTTATGCCGCTGGCTGAAGTTTCTTATGTGAATTTTGGTGCAGTTTTGAAGCCTAGTAAAGGTGCCAAACGGTGGTTCTAAAATTGGTTTGGAGATAATAAAGGGCATTTAAATTATAAAATATACCAGAAGTTAGAATTATTTCAAGCCCTTTTCTTTTATAATTCCATTTGATCTTTTGTCCTTCAGATTTTCTTTCTTAGTTTAGCATTTCCCTTTACTTTGGAGATTTCTTTTAGTCCAAAATACGAAATTAACATTCTGTCAAGACAAACAAGCTAGAAAGATCATTACTTAATATTTATCACCATCAAGAAAAGATCTGACTCAAAAATAGTTTCCATTAACCATAAGCTAAGCTTCAAAACCCGAGTTGGACCTACGAGAGTATTCTGCAACTAGTTGAGCAAGAGATGAAGATTTGTTCTTCAACAATCTGTTTGGTGAGTCATATTCCTCAATAAGCCCTGAATCAACAAGAAAGCAAAAATCATATTAACATTTATGAGAATAAAATGACAAATGAAAAGAAAGGAAGAGAAAGCCATTATTGATTCTTGCCTTGGCTCAGAACCAAAACCATGTCACTGTCAAGGATAGAAGTTATTCTGTGTGCAATGGTTATAACTGTACATTCTGAGAAATGCTGCTTCAGGGTCTGTTGGATAATGTTATCTGTAGCAGTATCAACTGATGCAGTAGCTTCATCAAGCACCAAAATCCTGCTTTTTTTAAGTAGAACACGGCCGAGGCAAACCAGTTGCCTCTGACCCATACTCCAATTTTCTCCATTCTCAGTGACTGCCACATCCATGAGGAAAAAAGTAATCATGTTTAAGTTTTAATCTGGCCTAATCAGTTTAAAGATTTTAGAAGACCCACCAATGGAATCAAGCCTTCCTTCCTTCTTCCTGACTTCATCTCCAAGTTGGCACATAGCTAGAGCCTAAAATAATACTTAAAGATGTTGACATGTTCATCATGGATAAAGATCAAGGTTAGTTCATTTACATTTTCATATAGAAGTAACTCACCTCCCAAATCTGTTCATCAGTGTACTCTTCAAGCGGGTCTAAATTACTTCTTACAGTCCCTTGAAACATAGTTGGATCTTGAGGAATAATGCTAAGTCTAGACCTTAAATCGTGAAGCCCAGTCAAAGAGATGCCGATGCCGTCTATTAGTATCTGACCAGTTGTAGGTTCAATGAGCCTGAATAGTGTTTGCACCAGAGTTGATTTTCCACTTCCAGTTCTCCCCACAATGCCTGTTTTTACCCCAGCATTGAATGTGCATGTAAGACCTCGCAGCACAAGAGGCAAGTGAGGAGCATATCGGACCTGCATCATAAACATCCTCCTTGCTGACAGATTCACATAAGAACTATAAAGAACATAAGATTAAAGGTTCAGACCTGTAAATCCTGGATATGAACCTCCCCATATGATGGCCATGAACAATCTGGTCTGTTTTCTTCAATTACAAGAGGAGGCTCGCTTGGGATGTTAGTATACTGAAATATTCTTTCTACTGATATAATTTTATTCTCCATATTGCAAAGCGTCCAAATTAATTGAGCTTGCAGCATGTTTAGATTAAACCCATATGTCACAGCCAAGCCAGCAATGCCTTCAAAGAAGGAAAAGAAAAATTTTGAGCAAGAAGCAGTAATGAAGCTTTGTACCTATTGTTACAAGGAATGAAACTTTGGAAATAATACAGTGGAATGCATGTTAGTGAAGAACTCACCAGGAGCACTAATTGCATTTGGAAAAGATATCAAGAAAACCAAACTGAAGGCAAATGTGATAGAAGATAACATATCCAATCGGAAGCATAGCCATTCCATTGCAGCAGTACTGTATAACTTGGGCTTGGAATATCTGTCTATCAGTTTCATGTTTGTATCCTGAAATCTCGCTTCTTGGTCAAAACTTCTGATGGTCATTGATCCTGAAATGGTTTCTGAAAAATGCTGTATAACTGGAGCTTCACACGTACCAACCAAACGGGATAGTTCACGCGCTGATTCTGAGTAGTATCGCTGCATGATACCAATTTATAGGAAGCTTGTCAGAACTTGAATGTATCTTGTTATTTATGTATAGCAGTCCAGCTCTAACAGTCAGATGCATAATATTGCAGAAACACTAAACAAACGCTTTTACAATAAAAAGGAATTACCTGGTACCATATGCAAGCTGCAACCACAGGAATAAATACTAAAAAAACCTGCCATGCAATTTGAGACATCACAGCAATATTTGCCAAGAGCTGAATAAGGCAGAAGGCAACTCCTGCTACAGTAATTGGAATGCTCATATCTACTGCACTTTGGTCTGTTGAAGCCTACAAACAAACAATTCAGACAAGGAAAAGCAATAAAAATGGGGATTTGAAGAAGAATAAACAAGAAGGGAAAAAAAGAAAAATGAAGAACTGTTTGCTACAATGTCTAAATAAAATTTAAAAAAAAAAAAAGTTAGGCAGATTTAGCCTATGAAATAGACATGTAAACATGTCAAGCATACTTTATATTATCATCATTAACATGTTTAAGTCTATTTAAGATTTTTTGTGTGTATTTATCTTTTGCATGCCAAAATTAATTCTGACATACTCTATTTAGGATTCGTCCACTTGGTGTAGAATCAAAAAACGACATAGGGGCTCGGAAGAAGCACACGTGCAGTTTATTGAAGAGTGTAGTGGCTGTCTTATATCCAGCTACAAACACAAGCATTGTTCTAGCCATGTTGCAGAAAGAACTTGCAATGGCCAAAGCTACATAGACAAGCAAAAGTGTAAAGCTCCCAACAGGAGGCTCTGTAGTTGCCGATACAGGAGCTGCCAATGCCATCCAATAATTGCTTCCAATTTGAAAAACCTGAAAAAGCACATGCAAGAGTAATATGAAAGGTACAAGAGCTCCTCCATATGCTGTTGTAATGTACTTCCAGTAAACTTCAAACCCAACTTTGCCCTTTTCTCTTTCTTCTTCTTGAACAAGCTGGCCTTTTGGCCCACGGTTATCATCTTCTTTTTGAACATCTTTGTTTTCAACTTCTTCCTCAAGTCCAAATGCACTTAATGAGTCTGTCTCTTTCGCAGTGGTACTAGTTTCTCTAAAGGTGGGTTTTCTCTCTAACGAATTGATTGCAGATAAGGCTTCTCTATGTGCTCCAACAAGCTCCATAAAATCAGTGCCTGAGTTGAGTATGTCATTGTACTTACCTGATTGAGTTATCTTGCCATCTTTCATGACCTAATTAAAAAGGTAAGCAAATAGGAAGTACAAAGTTAAACGATGGTAAAATTCACTTTTTAAAATTAATTAAGATGAGAAATTTTCTCACCAATATTAGATCAGCATCAGGTAAGAACTCTAGTTGATGAGTCACATATAACACTGTTTTTGAACTCAAAAGGCCAAGCAAACACTCCTGAAACAGTATAAAAATAATGTAACATAAGACAATAACCTGTGTATCCAAATCATTCACAAAATGCTGATCACATTTTAAGGGGAAAAAAATTGAAATTTGAAGTGATTACTCACATGGAGAACGAACTAGCTACTGAAGAAGAATTCCCCCCCCCCCCCACTCAATTAAGAACCATCCTACTCATTGTCTCAGTTAAATTCTCAAGACATCTCACAAAAACGCATCACTCTTTGCAATCCAATATGCTCAGGAATATGAACATAAATTACAATTATTAAGGTGTTTCAAATTAGTTTATCAATGTTAAGAAACTCTAGATGAGTATAAAATGGTTTGCAATGAATAAAAAAGGGATAGCAGAAAAATATAACCTTAAACAGGTGGGATCCGGTATGGGCATCCACGGCACTGAAAGGATCATCAAGAATATATATATCAGCATCTTGGTAAAGAGCACGAGCTATTTGTACTCTTTGCTTCTGTCCACCACTCAAATTGATGCCTCTCTCTCCAATAACAGTTTGATCACCAAAAGGAAGAATTTCTAGGTCTCTTTTCAAGGAACATGCTTCTAAAATCTTCTCATATTTTTCCCTATCCATCTCTTTCCCAAATAGTACGTTCTCCTCTATCTTTCCACCTTGTATCCAAGGGGACTGAGCAACATAAGCCTTTGTACCACACATCTTCAATGTCCCAGAGAGCTTCGATACTTCTCCTAGTATACAAGAAAGTAGACTTGACTTTCCTGAACCAACAGTACCACAAACTGCAACCCTGAAGCCATGGATTATGTTGATGTTTATATTTTGCAAGGTAGGAACAGGTGAAGACAAATCCCAAGAGAAGTTCCCATCTACTATCTCAATTGCTGTATCAGAACTACCCCGAGGAAGCCTCTCTACAACATCAGACTGTATTTCCTGGAGACAAAGGAATGATGCAATCCTATCGAGGGAAACCTTAGTTTGTGCTATCATTGAGATTGTGTCAGGAAGGTTAGATATGGGCTGCTGCAGAATTCTGAAAGTTGCCAATGCAGCTAAGATCTTGCCTGAGTCAAGTGGGATTCCTATGAGAATACAAGTACCAAAAGTAACCATAGCAATGAAAGTTGGGGCAGAAGAGAAGAGGAATCTTGTCATTCCTGAACTGAATAAAAATTTCTTTAGCCATCCTGTCTCAGTGTTCCTAATCTCAATAACTCTTGACAGGAACTTCATCTCCCATGCCTGCAGTTTTAGAATCCTCATGTTCTTTAGAATCTCAGTGGTGGCCTTCATTCTTGTGTCTTTTGACTCCATTAACTTTCTCTGAAACTTCTCTTGCAGTGACCCCAATGGCAAGTTTGCCAGCATCATTAAAACAGTAGCAGCAAAAGCAGATAATGAAGCAATCCCAACACTTCTATATAGAACAACTAAAGCTAAAGTTACTTGTAGAACAGCCATCCATGGATCATGCATGTACCAACAAAACTCACCAATCCTAGCAGCATCAACAGTCATTAAGTTGATGATCTCCCCACTAGTTCGACCCTCCTTTGATTGACATGAAAGGGTCAATCCTTTTGCATAGATCATTGCCACTAACATTGACTGAAACCTAACCCCAACTTGCTGGAACCTAAACATCCAGTGCCTCTGTGCAAGGCACTCCACAAGTTTCCCACTGAGGAATGCCACTGTCAAAATATAACCCTCATTTTTAAAACTTTCTTGTCCATTCAGATATTCAACAAATACGTCAATCAGAAAGGGACCAACATAAGAAGCACATGTGTAAAAGAATGCAAATATAGCTGATGAGAGAATCCCTTTCCATGTAGAGTAGATTAAAGCCTTCACCAGTTTAATAGTGGTCACTCTGCTAAGATCATCACTACACACTGATTCAAGGTTTTTTCTAAATGTTGGAAATGTCCCGTATACACTGTCATGGCTAGAGAGCAAAGGGAGATCCTCAAGGCCTAAAGTTTTCTTATATCCAACAGCAATTAGAGTACTCATCCATGAGAAAGTAACAATACTGAAAAATCCAGCTTTTGAGTAAGGGGTGTTCTTATAGCACTCATAGCTATTGCTTTCCCTGTAATCACTACTCAAGAGGGGTTCTTCAAGAAGGACGCGTTTTGCCTCATTGCTTGCTGAAAATCCCACATAACAGAAAAACAGACCCGAAAGAGTGGAACCAATATCAGAAATAAGGTATATTATTGGGAGGAAAACATGTTTTCTGTAGAGCACAAAATCTATTACAAGGCAAGAACAGCAAACAAAGGAGTAAGCCCAGCACCAAATTCTCAAGAATCTGGGGAAGTCTTGTTCCCCTGAACTGGAGAGTCTAGAATACAAGTAGACACAAAGAGCACCCCAGGCAACAGTTTTTATCACAAAATCCACAGCAATAACAATTTCATCAAAGTTGTCGTTCTTGTACCAGAAAAAGAAGTTTAGTACGGACAGCACAAGGTTAAAAGCAAAAACAATTAAACAACAGAAAAGAGTCTGTCTGTAGTACAAAACAGCAGTATTGGAAACTCCTATTCTTCCAGTTTCTCTGTTTCGAACCTTGGTTTTGTGACATGCCCATGTTATCAGTAACACAAGTAGTAGCGCCAGGTGCAGTGAACAAGAAAGCCCGTGAGTGAAAATGGGTTGGAGAAAAAAGCTCGTTTCGGGAGACATTTCCAACTTTGAGGAATCGAGAAGCTCCATTTGATGGTTATGGTGGATCACTTGAGACTCATGCATCGCAAAAAAGAAATGGGAAAAAGGTATAGTGAATGTGTTCACAAACTAGCTTTCAGCTTCAGGTAAAAAGAGCCTGAGATCATGTACTCCATCCAAGAGCGGAGAATAACGGATTCACAAGAGGATATTTTTCATTTTGTAAAGTCACTGTTCTGCTTCATTGACTCGAGACGACGACCGTTTACGTGGATCAGCCGCCCTCCCTGGGAACAAGTTTCGGTGTGGTGAGCGCACAACCCATTAAATTTGGAAAGATCATATTTAAAATTTTTAATTAATTATTTTTAAATAAAAATATTTTTTTTAAAAAAAATGATATTTTAAAATATTATTTTTATTTTAAATTTTATACCCATTAGTATAATTATTTTAAACAAATAGAAACCAAAAAAAATTAAATCTAAACCATTTATATCAAGTATAAATGATCTAGATCTAATGAGTTTAGGGTGTTTATCAAAATGATGAGCCCCCAAACCGGTTCCCTCCTTATGGAGGCAAAATTAAATATATTTTGTGCTTTTAAAAATTAATTAATATATAAATATATATTCTAAGATTTATAACAAGCTTAAGGTAAAACTCATGTCCTTCTTATTAGTCACTTATTGGGGAAAAAATTTAGTCCTAAATATAAATATCTCATAGGGTTATTAATAATCATTTATGTTGGGGAAAAAAAAGAGGAAAGATATGTCATGATTTGTAAATGTAGAGAATGAAAAAAAAAGTCAATTTAAAAAATTATATCAATTTAATGTTTTTTTAGCATATGATAAGAAATTATAAGTAACTCAGAAGAGGGGTTGGAATGATATATGCAATCTGTTCACTTTATAATTTAAACAATTTTTATTGATAGACTAAATAAATATGTTAACTCAATATTTTAAATATATGTATATTTTCATAACAAGACCCCAAAAAGTAATTATATTTGCTTTAATTAATGTAACTTTTTTTGGTAACATTTTTTTAATTTTTGGTTATGGGTCTTTATTTTTATTTTTTTAATTTGGACTAAAATACAAATTTATTTATAAAGTTTTCATTTAAAAGTGTCAGACATTCGAAAATTTTTTGAAGTACAAATTTGTTTCATAAATTTAAAATTGTAGCAACTTTTTGCTTACTATTAAAAATATTAATATTCAATATCACTGTAATTTAACTATATTTTTAACAGTAAGGGACAAAATTATCACAATTTTAAATTATTGAGGCAAATTTGCACCAAAAATTTTTTTTTAGTGCCTGGCACTCTTGAGTAAAAACTTTTGGAATAAATTTACACTTTAACTCTTCTAATTTAAAGAAAATATTATTGTAATTTAAGTACTTTGATACTATTAAGTAATCAAAACATAAAATCATCTTACAAATCGCATGAAGTAAAAAAATTTGCATGCGGCTGCAGCTCTTTTTTTTTTTTTTGGATACAAGCTCATTAGGAATTATAATAAATCATGTAATTTTTTTGTCATCTATAATAAATTATCTAAAATAATAGTATATTTTTATTAATTATTAGTGGTCATAATAAATAACCATTTGGATTAAGAAATGTAAATAATATGTTAATTATTTTCAACTTTATTAATATGCTCTTATTACGTCACATGTGGATTGTTACTTTGTTATACTTTGTTGAGAATTGTGCCTAATCATATATTCATCTAGTTCTATTTATAAATCACTTTTAATATATTTCATCAAAATAAAAAAAATTAAATCTTATTAATTCTACCTTAAAATTTAATAACTTTTCCATTTTACTACTATTATATATAAATACTTTTCTAATAAAGCATTATTTTTTTGCTTTATAAATAAGACCAAAAGAATATAGACCTAAAAAAAATAGTTTGAGACAAAGAACTAAAAAAAAATAGTAATTAATGTTGCATTAAATCTCTAAAGTGGTAAATAAAAATGGTATAAACAATTTTCTTATTAAAAAAAGTAGCTGCTAAGTAAAACATATCAAAAAGTAGGAAGAAAAGGAGTAACACTTTGCAAGACCTTGGGAGCTTTAGATATTTATCATCATGTATGGACATGGTTTGTCCATCCGTTAGGATTCATTTAGTTGGAAAATTCTATATATCCGCCATGATTTGATTGGTTGCGTGATAGGATCATTTTCTTTGTAATAACGATGTTTTGTGGAATTTGGGCGGTTCATATGGGAAAAAAGGTTGACTATTTTAATTAACAACAAGATATCCCGAAAGAACAATTTTGTAGTTTTTTCCTTTAAAGGTAATTCCAGCACTCTCATTTTATTTTCCTAGTACATCTAGCATCCTAAGAATAGTTTTTTTAATTACATCTATCACCTTACAAAGTAGAGTGCTGAATGCACTAAAATAAGATCATGACGGTAGATGTACCATAAAAAAAACATAGTACTGGATGCATTTGAAAAATAGAATTAAAGTGTTGGATTCACATTTGACTTTTACTTGTTTTTATTGTATTGCCAACACCATTTTGATAGTCACAAAATATCAGATTTCAAGTAATATTGAAAGAACATATTTTACGCAGTAAAATAAAAACGGACGTGAATTGAGTCTTGAGAATTGGCAAAAAAGAATTAAGTATTGAGAACTTTTAAGGAGAGTGTTTTCAAAATCACTCTAAAAGAGTAGGATATGGATTTGGATATGGATTCATATTTTTATAGTATATGAATGATATTCTTGCCAATGAAACCAATCTTTGTTGGCCTTGGGAGAATTTGTTGCTAAACTTAAATCCAAGGAAAAAAAAAACTAGACCGGACCGGCCGGTTCGACCGGAAAACCGATGAACCAGTCTGCAGTCCGGTCTGGTTTAGTAAATGGATCAGGGGCTAAGCAAACTGGTAAAAAACCAGTTGAATAGGTTATAACCAGTGTAGAACTGAGCAAATCCGGTTGGCCGGTTCCTTTTTTTTGTCTGGCGTAGAATGCACAGCTTTAGAAATCCAGATCCTCAAATCAAAATCAGTCCATCACTATTCACTAACCATTTCCTTCAGCTTTGCCATTTTCCTTCCTCCCCCCAAACTGAAAATCCCTAGCTGAAATCAATCCTCACTGTAGCGGCCGTTTTCTTCGCTGTCGGAGGTCACCAATCTTCGCATGATGTCGTCCTGGTCGAAGCAGTAGGTCGTCGTTCTTGGTTCTTCTATCAGATTTGCTAGTCGCCGGTTGCAGCAGTAGATCGTCACTCCCCATCGCATTTCTTCTTCACGGTGGTAACCATTGTTGCAGCCTGAGGCTCTTCCTTCTCCTTCTACTTGTTCTCAACTTCCGTGGTCGTGTTGTCCAATTCATTGGGTTAGTTTCTTTCAGCTCGATGTGCTCTGTTTTTCCTTTCTTGATATTGCTTCCGTGTTCCAGGTTTTGGGCTATGAGTGCTATACTGATATGAAATCTGATTATCTGAATTTGATCTTTGAGTGATATACTGATCTTTGTTTGTAGAATCTCTTTAATTATTACAGATCATTAAATTAAAAAAAAAAAGAGAGAAGTCCCCATTTTTGTCAAGTTGAGGGAAGATAGGATGGGAGAGAAATGCATCTAATGTAATCCTTTTCGTAAGAAAAGCATCCTGCCCACATTTATTTGAAAAAAAAAAAGGGCATCCTGCAGCATTTTTGGCATAAGTTTTTTCCCTCTCGTTTTCCAAATAGCGAGGTACTGGAGTGTAGATGATATGAGGAGTTTTAAATTTTTTTTTCCTTGAATCAAAACTTTTAAACTACTTTTATAGCTTCTTATTTTTTTTGACAGATTATTATTTATAATTTTTTTTCTATTTTAATGTTATGAATTAAATTATATTATTTTAATATGACTGGTTCAACCCCGGTCCGACCTCTGGTCCGACCAGTGACCCTTGACCCACTGTCTTAACCGGTTGAATCTCCGGTCCAATTTTTTGTTCCTTGCTTAAATAGTTGTTTCTAAAATTGATTTGATTTTTTAATAAATTTATTTAAAGATTTGAAGTTGTTATTTAAAGATTTATTATCAAATTTTAAAACTTTTTCCCGGGTAAGAAGGGGCGTCCCTCTTGTACATTTTTCAATATATCTGTATGTTTATGATTATAAATTAGATTTATTTTAATTTGTATTTTTATAATAATATTTTTAATTATTGATTTTGAATGTTTGTAGGAGTTATTTATTTATAAAAAAAATTCGTATTACCCATGTAAAAGTGCAGGCAGGTATAATATTAGTTCAATTAAAATGAAGCAAATTTATCAAATTGTCAAAAATTTGAATTACTAATTTCTGAAATTTTCCTTAAATCTCTCTCTCTCGCCCCACTGAATTACTCCTCCCCCATCTTCATATTTATCAGTGCTCGAGTTTTATAAGAAAAACAACGAGCGCCGTAATTATTAACGAGAGTTATACATAAGAGTATTTTAAAAACAATAGCAAAAGATAACTATTGTAAATATTAAAAAAATAATTTAGTTAATTATTTGTTGAAAAATGATCAAATTTTTTAAAGCTCCTATTTTAATTATTTGCGTCGAAAATAACTATGTTAATCAAAATCTTTTTAATATGTGGAAATAATAAGGAGAATTTAAAAAGTTATTTAAAATTGGACTAAGTAATAAATCTTTAACAACATGATGGGGTGTTCAGATAATTATTAGCTTGCGGAAATATGGACATGTTATATTCATATGATTGGTCTTTACTTGGTTGAAAAATTATCCCCACCCAAATTGATTGATTGCGCAACAAGATATGCTTTGTAACCGTGTCGTGGAATCTATAACAGCACACAAGTTAAAGTCAACTATTCAATTCACATGGCTTCACTAATTTTTTGTGTCTTAGACCCAAGATTTTATGAAAGATTTTGATTGCAAAATACTGACTATTAAATTTTCAAATAATATTTAAAGAACTTAATTTAATTGACTACACTTATTGCTTTTAGAACCGCATGCCCTAAATTGCCAAAAAAAAAAACCACATTCCTCGCTCAGTAAATTTATGAGTTGGGGATGCTCGTCCCCCAAATAGCAAGGTTTGGAGATGAGCCTATAAGGCATTAGGTACCTTTCTTGTTTTTGTTTTTATTTTTTATTTATTTGAGGTATGTTGTATTTAACACTTTGAAATATTTTTATGCACTAAAAATTAATTAAT